TGAGTCTGTCGCTCCTCAGGGAACAAAACTTCAAAACGCTCGCTCAGTTCAAAGTACCGAACTGGAGACGTCAACGGTACAGTTGATATTTTTCAACATTTAGTGGATTTTATCTCTGCATCTCCCATTTCAGAGATGTCTTGCAAAACTATTTCAAATCTTTGGTTCTTCTGTGAGCTAATCGGTCAAACTTACTGCCCGTTCACCGGCCACGTCCGGGTGATGTCGCTGACGTAACCAAAGTACTCGCAGCCTCCGTCGAGAAGAACCAATTCACCGTCCTGATGAAAGACACAGGGAGGAGAAACTTACAGAATATAAATTTACAGCATTGTTAGCATTACCCAAATCATTTATGTTTGCTATACTAGTCCTATTTTAGCCACAACTCTACTAATTACAACCAGCATAATTTCCTAAAGTCTTCGCTGCAGCTCAAAGTAGTGGTTACCTTGACGATCTGGTTGTTGTTGATGTAGTGCAGCGTGTTTGCTCGATTTCCTCCGGCGACCACGGGGGGGTAGGCCAGGAAGTTGGCACCGTGGATCCGGTTCTCGAAATCAAACTGGAAAAAGAAATAATAGATGAAGAAGAAGACATATGTTAGGTTTACACTGAGGTGAAAATGCGTTCTCCCCCTTGCGCTTCTGTTTTTTGCTTTTTATTCTTTTTACATAAGTGATATCGTATATTACCGTTAATTGCAATAATATCTGGGACAATTAATCGTCCAGCATAATTTACTATCGTGTCAGGTTTGAGCAGAAGCACTATGGAAACAACAGAGGTCATCAAATCTAAAACCTACCTTAGCGAAAAGGACCGACTCGTCCACGTCTCCCTGTGACAACGCCATCGTCCTCCTAAATGCCTGAAGGAAAACAACGTTAACTGGTGTTTTAGCCAGAGAAAATGCACCGAATCTGAGAAAACAAAACAAACAAAAACACTGTAACACCTTGAAGATGAAACCACTGACACACCTGCGCTGTGATCCGACCCGCCTCTTGCATAAGCGACACCTCTGCGGGGCTCTTGATGGCCCGGAGAGAGTGGATGAGGGGCCTGAGCGAACGCGGGGCGGGACCCGCCTCCAGCGTGGGGAGAACGTGAGTCTGGTGGAGCCGAGAATGGGCCGGCTGAGAGGAGTCATACCAGAGCTGGGTGCCTGAAGGAGGTAAGAGGACCAAAAAAATTAAAAAATTAAGGTTCAAATTTTAAAAGGGGAAGTATTATGTGTTTTCCAGCCACATAAGACTATTTCATAGCACAACCAACTAACTATTTTAACTTACGTTGTTAATAAAATACTATCTATGACAAATATGACTTAAAAGAAATTTGACTTTATGATTTAATGTCTTGAAATTGTGCCTCTGTCTCTTTAACAGCATTTTTACAAGCTGGGACGTAGCTCGTATAACAAATGCGCAGCTCCACCAGGTGTCTGCTGACTGTTGCTGGCTAGTCTGAAGGAGCTGAGAGGGGCAGAGGGCTGCTCTGTGAGGTGGGAGCTTAGAAACTGCAGCTCCAGGGAGGAGCTTTGTCCTCGAAGGTGGGGCTAGGATACACCCAGGCTTTTTGCACCGACTGGTTGCCATGGAGATTAAAGGATTTCTCAAACATGGGTGAAAAAATCAAAGCAATGTTTTTGACGAGGGAATAACATTATAACATGATGTAAAGCTAAAAAAACTCAATTTTATATTTCTTTTCCTTTCAAAAGGATAAGAAATTACAAATACAGCATGTTCGAGTGTGGCAGGCTAAAGAGAGCTAGAGTGTACAATTATAAGGTTACTGTAGCTTTAAGAAAGGTGTGGAGTCATTCAGAGCCACTCTGCTCTTATATTCACTCACCTTTAAGGCTCTTTAAAACTAGACCCAGCTCCTCCGTACTGTGAACTCTCTCTATGCCCGTCAAAGCGGCTGCCCCGTCCCTTCCCGCCCGTGGACCGTCCCACAGTTCCCTCCCCGGATCCCTGCGGGGGACAAACAAGATGGCCTGGTCCGGTCGAGTCCTCCCGTAAAGAACCAAGGCACTGTCGGGTTCCAAGAAGCCGGTGAGGTAGAGGAAATCCTGAGAAACATGAGGCAGACAGCCGTGGAGCAGACGGGACGTACGGGAACGATGGCGTCATCAGAAGCTGAAGGAATGACAAACCTGGTTCTGGTGGAAGGGGTAAGGGATGTCGTTGGTCATGTAGCGTATCGGGTGGGATAAAACGACGGCCACGTGGTTCCCAGAGGAGGCAGGAGGTCCCAGCTTGTCCGTGTGGGCCTCAATGAGCAGGGCCAGCTTCTGCCTGCGGAGCTCGAACTCTGTCTGGGTTAAGCCTGGGGTCACTTCACCTGAGGAGCAGAGAGAGCAGAAATCCCAACTGGCTCAAGCATCTTTGGTTGACACGATTAATTATCCGAGGGTTGAGAGCGGCTACATTCAAGGATAAAAGACACTCACCATGTTTGACGAGGTGAGGGTGAGTGAACGGACTGGGCTGGCCGAGGTACCGGGGTGGGACAGTCTTTGGTTTCAGATCTCCAGGTTTCACAGAAATATGGCGGCACCATGCACAACCTGCAGAAAACACAACGCAAATCCACAATGTATAGTGGCAAAAATGTTTCCAGTTCGCATCTTCTGGTAACCAACGTTTATTTTAGAAATGGATAATTCTATTCTGACGATTAATCGATTATTTTGAAGATTAATCGATGAATCAGATAAAAAAAGAAATGGTCCATTTTGAAGGTTTTTCAATTAACTACAAGCATTTTTTATACAATTTCTGGAATACATTAAAAGATGTAGATAAGCAAATAATTCAATTTACTTTTTAAATAATAAAGTGAACATTTTCTTGCCTAAAATGCAACAACATAGCATTACTTTAACATACGCATCATCATTTGTAGCAAAGGATGCATCTGCAGCTAAAAACTACTTTCAGTATTGTGATAAACCCATTAATAACTGCATAACAAAAGGTGCTTCATAGGAGTTTCTACATAATTTGAGCCAGGCAAAGCTAAAACTGCCACCTGAGGAGTTCTGGGTTTAACATGTTTACAGACAAATGGGTTTTTTTAATTATTATTTTTAAATGCAACATGTATTTTTTTTTATAATGATTTGGCTCTATTATGACAGAGTGTGTTGTTTTTTTGGCAAATGTCCTTTTATGAGTCTCCATACTCCAGCTAACGATTAATCGATTGCTAAATTAGTCAATAATCAGTCACTCACGATTAATCCGATTAATCGTTCAGCCCTGTGGTAGACTCTTACAAAATAGTTAGGCAATGATTAACAAGGCTCATACGAGGTTAAAGAACCTAAACGGTAGATATTATTTAACCCCGGAACTAAAATGAGGAAAGAACTTAAAGTGAGTAAATGAATCTTTCCCCAAAAGCCTACACACAAATACCCGCTTACGATAAGGTGGATATTTTGAGTGTTTTTCAAATGTATTCACAGTAGAAAGCCAAGAAGTCACCTTTATGTAAATGTTCACAGCTTTGCAGGCAGTGTAGGAACCCTGAAAATGGAGATCACACTAAATATCCCCTTCCAGAGAGAGGTAAATGTATAATGAAGTTATCCCTAAGTTTCACTTATTTGCATTTTCCCCCTATATATACAAAACTGATATTCCTGACTTTGAGTTTAGTTGCTCTTGCTGTCAGATTAGTGAGACGAACAATAATGATAAGTGATATGACGACCCACCTCCAGCTCGGGTCCGCCGCGGCAGCAGCCTGACGGCAGACCGCGTGAAGCTGCAGGCAGGGGACAACATTACTAAAGCTGCTGCTGCTGCTGCTGCTGGAGGACACCGAGGACCACTCACAGCATGACGTCCTGCCGAGGACAGAAGGGAGTCAAAAATAGACAAGAAACAAGAAGTTACATCTAAACACACAACGGCAGCATTTGGGATTTATCTAACTTACCGTCAAAACTCCTTTAAAGTATCAGTTATGCAGTGGATGACAGTAGCCTTAGCTAGCTCGCTGCTTTATTAGCCACATTCATTCTCTTTGTGGAATTGCTGCCCTGAGTTTGGTTTGTCAGGCTCGGAGAACGCTTATACCAAAAGCCATTTGCGAAGCTGCTGTTGAATCATATTTTGAAATAATATTTTAACATTAACTACCATTTTCCCCAAAAGACTTAAGGACCATCACATTCATTGACACAGGCATTTGTGTCATTTTCTCTCCAACTCTCATTAGATGTCATTTTTGCCCAGTTTTTTTCCTTATTGTTAAATCATGACTACTGACTGACTGGTATCATCTATTGTCAAGCTTTAAGATACGTGCTCTGATCTGAGATCCCCCAGAATAAGCTGTAAATGTTGCTGGGAAGAGGGATGTCACCCTTGTGATCTGATTTTGGAGAAGTGAAAGACTTGCTTCTTACCTTTTACTTACTACTCTTTTTTTTTTAAAAGGGGAAGCTCACACAAAGCCAAAATTCTCATTTTATGTTGATATTTTTCATAACTAAATGAATCAACATCCCGCCATTCTGATTCCTTTAGAAAGCGACGGTCTTGTTTCAAAGTTTAATCAAAATCAAATGTCACATACAGAAAATAGTTGGCTGGTGTGTGTGTGTTTCTAATGTTTTGTTCACAGCAATACTTGTTTAGGAGATAAAACACACACACACACACACACACACACACACACATATATATATATATATATATATATATATATATATATATATATATATATATATATATATATATATATATATATATATATGAAGTTGTCATACCCCTATATATATATATGTGTGTATATATATATATGTGTGTATATATATATATGTGTGTGTGTGTGTGTGTGTGTGTGTGTGTGTGTGTTTCACATATTACACATATTTCTTGTTCGTGACGTAATTAATTTTTATCAAAGACGTTGTCAACGTCAGCCTATGAAATCTGCCTGACAAACTCTGAAGAGGGAAAAATTTGACCCATTGGTTTCGGTCTGTCCGACTTCTCGCCTGAATGAAACACCGGAGCGACGCCACCTCCAGCGAAGCAGACTGTTGGTGGCGATAAAAAAATAATAATAAAAAAACCCGACTGCAACCTTCTTCTGCAGCGCGTCTTCTTTTCTCCAAACATTTTCAGACAGGTATGTTTACTTTTATTTTCTCGAAAGCATGCAAATACTGACTTTCATTCACCAACGCTGCATATCGCAGCGTTATGTTCATGCGTCAAAGGGTCAGCGTCACGCACTGATCCACATTTCCAGAAAGTTCTCGCTTTCAGCTGTTGTAATATTTATTTAAGTTGTTCTAAATGTATTTGTTTTGGGACCTCCGTTGTGTCTGTTCTCTTGGTTTGACTAAATTGTTTGTTGAATAAACTAGCCAGAGCTCGTAGCTGACGTTCATTACGTGCCAGCATGCTAGCACTGCCTAGCTTATCGCGGAGGGTATTAACAGCTCAGCACATAAACAAAGCCCCACTTGGCTGAGTTGTTGGCTGTCTTTCATTCTGCCTCCAGGCCGCGCGCAGCGCTCCGTCTGCTGGACCTTGACGCGCCAGCATGGACCCACGAAAAGTGACAGAGCTGAAGGGCTTCGTGCAGATGTGCGAGTCCAATCCGGGGATCCTGCACCTTCCGGAGATGGGATTCTTCCGCAGCTGGCTGCAGAGGTCAGGATCTCTGAAGCATAACCGCTGATCGAGCCTACCAGGGATTTACTGCTTATGAGATCAGTAGATCAGATGCAATTATTTTTGTTTTAGTCCTCGGCAATATTTTAAGTCTTTAACGTTCTGCGGGCTGACCACGTGCTCTGACCCGCCCACCATCCAGTATAAACCAGTAGCCATTTGTGTCTCCGTGTTGTGATGGCAGATATGGAGGACTGATCCTGCCAAAATTGACAATGACTAAATTAGGGAAGGAGTGAGAAAATATGACTGTAAATTCAAAACTCAACGAAGAAAACTTTAAATAAATATATGTGGAAATAAACACAGACGGCTGATGTTCAACATCCTTTTGCAAAATGAAGTCCCAAATCTCAACAACCATTAGGATTAGTGTCCAAATGGTGTCCAAAATTGAATATTAACCATTCTATGGGCCTGTGGGAGACTAGCATTCGAATTGGGGGTGGTACTAAAGCATTTTCATGTACACTGTAATACCGTGAACCAAAATTACATATTTTTATTTGCGGGTGGGAATCTGTAACATTACAGTGCCTTATTAAAGTTGTCATACCCCTTTCATTTAAAACTATTTAGTCAATTTAGATCCAAGTGATGGAGCAACAGAAAGCTGTGCTTAAACAAAGGTAGTTTAGCATTAACAGGCTTAAATCTTAAAAGTGTGGAGCACCCTGCAAGGGTTATAAGGGTAAACAGCATTTTTCAATTGATTATTGAGGTGGATTTGCATATTTACAATAAGATGTTATAAGATGATAAGTCTTCTGAGAAATGCCTGTGTCATTTCCTGTGAGAAAAAAACCCAAAAGAAAAAAATAGAGGTGTGAATAATTTTGATTTTAACCATGTGCCTTGATCTAAACCAAGGCGAGTTTCAGATCCACACCTGATTCAAATCACCTAATTAAAGACTCAACCCAATAAAATGCAATGAAGTTTGTTGTAAGGAGACAAAATGTGGAACATTTCTAGGGGTGGAATACTTTAATACGGTTTAAGAAATGATCATTTAATGATTGAAAAACAAAGTCAGTGTTTGCATTGATGCTTTACTAACTCCTCATAATTTCATCCCACAGTATGGGCGCTAATATCCCTCCTCCGGCTAAGAAACAGGATTCATGCCAGGTGATGTGCAGATTATTTTTTCTTGCCAAATGTTTTTTTTTTTCTTTGTTTCTTTCTTTCATTGAAACGTTTGTGGAAAGACAGAAGAGAACTATTAATTGGCGTTGTGTGACGTTTAGGGTGGCTGTCCGTGTGGGCCGTCCCCCTCGGCGGCGCCGCCTCCTGAGCCTGAGCTTCCTGTGGATTCTGAGAGCGAGGAGAGTGAAATAGGTACAGAAGAGATTCAGATCAGTTTTATTTATAAACCCCGTGCTGCTTTGATCACAGCTTCACCGTTCAGTGCAAAAATAGCAAATCAAGTCACCTGAATGCAACACAGGAAGCGAAAAATGTTTTTATATTAATCAAATCCAATTGTTTTTTTCTATCTGTTTACTGCCAAATTACATTAGCGAATAATTCCAGTTTTTCTGTGGTCACAGAAATTAACTCATAATCAGCAAATCGCCTCACTTTTTTGTGCTTGTGCACAACAAAGTATATTGAAATTCTTCTGAAAATACAAACAGTGTGACAACTCCTACCTGCAGGTGGCAGTATATTTCACTTCTACACTTGCGAGTAATAGAAATACTTAAGTGCAAATATTGCAATATTTCTTGCAAATATTTCTAAATCGGCACCAGAAACGTTTTGATTTTTCTTGCAAAGAATCACAAAAATAAAAATAAAAAAATGTGACGCCTCTCATCTACACCAAATGTTTTTTACAGTTTACTTCAGTTCATTCAGGTACAATGCAGTGTTTTACTAAGACTCCACAGCCTCGGAAACCAAGAATTTCCTTCTGTTTAGCAAGGACAAAACTCAAATGTGTGAGGATAAGAGGAGAGGAAACTGGCAGACATCAGGGTGCCTGGACTCTCTACTTTAGGGGAAACAAAAAGACATAATTCTCCTTTTATTTTAGAAATCGACAATGAAGGAGTGATAGAGCCGGACACAGACGATCTGCAGGAGATGGGAGAGTTTGACAACATCGAGGTGACGGATTTCTTATACCGAGTGAATACGTTTTAAACTGAAACTGCATTCTGCCATGAGTCCGCCAGAGATAAATAATTTGGACTCGTCTGCAGGTCACAGAGGAGATGATGGACCAAGCCAACGAGAAGAAGATCGAAGCGATCAACGCCCTCGGAGAAGGTTGGCTCCGCTAGTGACCAGAATGAAAATGATCCGCAGCACTAAAAGGGATCTTCGATCAATAACCTCCTCCTGTCTTTGATTCCAGGCGACCTTCAGAAAGCGTTGGATCTGTTCACAGAAGCCATCAAGCTGAACCCTCGAGTAGCCATCCTTTACGCCAAGCGGGCGAGGTGAGCGACCCGGTGGGGGGGGCGGATGTTAATCCACAGCTCATCTGCAAAACGTTCCGAACCCGTTCTAAATGTTTCCATCTGTGCGTCAGCGTGTTCATCAAAATGCAGAAGCCCAACGCAGCCATCAGAGACTGCAACAGAGCCATCAGCATCAACCCAGACTCTGCACAGCCGTACAAGTGGAGGGGCAAAGCTCACAGGTACCAGAGAGCCGCCGCCGTCTGTTTGACCAGGAGGCATCATTCAGTGTTTACTAGTGACATCACCAAACCCCTCAGTGTAAACGCATGCAACCCTGCTCAACTGGTTCTTCAAACATTTCTGTTTGATTATATTTCGTAACGTTGAGGCTGAGTGTGAAACACAAACGTGTTTTTATCTATGATTCCTATAAAGTCTCTAGAAGTTTAGGATTTTCTTTAATCATTTTCTAGGTTTTGATTTGTGAAACTTGGCAAGAAAAATTGTAGGAAAATTTCTGTTTCTACTGTTTTGTTAATTTTAAAATAATACTTCTAAAATGCAGTGGTTTTTTTTATATTGCTGAATTTCAAATGACATCCTACTTGATTTTTATATTTAACCCGTGCAGACTTAGCCATCCTGTGGTTTTACCTTTCTTGTATATATATTTTTTTACGGGGAGTATTAAAGGCCATAAATTTTTCTTTAAAGGATCTGCATTTAGTGTGAGATACTTCATTTCTCTTTTGACATGACACAAGTTAAAGGAATTAAAATAACTAAGATAAAATTAGCGTTGATGGCAAATAAGCAGTGAAATGACCTCATCATCGGACACCATTTTCTTATTTGATATGTGGAACCTGCAGCTGAGACATGACGGCTTGTTAAGGGATAGTTTGTTAAAAAGTTGTAAAAAAAAAATTTTTTTTTAATAATGTAGAAGAAAATCTAGAAATGATTGAAATGCAAAATGTGCAGAAATCCTGCGATTTTGTTACATAAACTTCAGTGTATTTAATGGGACGTTATGTAATGTATCAACATAATAGTGAAGAAGAACAATTATATATATATATATAAAATATCATTCTGTAGTGCTGCTTTCTACAACACATTCATTTTACTCTGATGTCAAAAGTTATGAATTTCCACTTTGAAAAACAACAAAAATGTCAGATGAAGTTGAAATTCTGACTGGGGAAAGTTTAGTATCCATATCTAAATGCAGTAGCAGTGGCCAGAAAGTGCTGTAGAATATTTCTGATTCCCTTTCTAACCATAACCAGATTATTATCAGCTTGTGTTGCACAGAACAGTCTGCCACAACAACAGTTAGCAAATCCCACTTTTTTCCCCATCATCCTCCCCGACTTCTGAGACAAATCAGACACAGAAAGGTCTGTTCTAGTCCGAATGCCAGTTTGTGACAGAGTTTCACATTTTGCTGCATTTGCTACCTTGTGTGTGTGTGTGTGTGTGTGTGCGCGTGCGCGCAGGCTGCTTGGTCACTGGGAGGACGCAGCCAAAGACCTGGCCACAGCCTGTAAGCTGGACTACGACGAGGATGCCAGCACGCTGCTAAAGGAAGTGCAGCCAAAGGTACCGAAGCAGGGAATAATGATAATAACGGGATGTCTGTGCATCCTTAAAACGTCTTAAATTAATTCACAAAACTGTAAGTTGGTCTTGAATATGTCAATCACAGGTCTTAAATTTTGGCAGGACTGTTTACTCATATGTTCTATGTAGCTTATTTTTCTCGTGGGACTTTTCTGTCTGGCAAATGTTTGAGTCACATGCAGACATCTTCATTGTTTTCTGTGACTCAAAGCTGTGGAGGCTACCGCTAACTAGCTGCTAACATGCCCTAGCTAGCTATATAGAGTTTTGCGTCTGTTGTGGATAAATTTGCCAGGTCAAACTGGCAAATTTGTTGCCAGTTTGATCTTTGCCACTGACTCACTTCTTTGCCAACTTGTACGCTGCTACATTCATTCTGTGCACAATTCTGTCACAAGACAGGTCTTAAATTTCATCCATCATGGTCTTAAAATGGTCTTAGAAAAGGTCTTAAAATGTCTTGTATTTGAGTTGGTGAAGCCTGCAGAAACTCTGCATATTTTTTTAACGTTTTAAACTTTGGTCGTCAGGCTAATAAAATCATGGAGCACAGACGCAAATATGAGCGGAAGAGGGAAGAGAAGGAGATCAAAGAGAAACAAGAGCGCATAAAGAAAGCCCGAGAGGAGCACGCGCGCGCACAGAGGGTGAGTCTGAGCGATATTTAACCTGTTGAATACAATCTGGTCAAGATGGCTCACCTTCTGCGTTTCGCCGCTGCAGGACGAGGAAGCGCGGCAGTTTGGAGGAGGATACTTCCCAGGTGAGAGTGGAAGCACGATGGCTGCATGTTTTCCTTCTACACATTGTCTGGTGTTATTAATCAGCTGATTCCTGCTGGAAAACCTGAAGTGCTGCTCCTGATTGTTCCTGTACAGGAGCTGCTGGCTTCCCGGGCGCCACGCCCCCTGGTGGTATGCCCGGTCTGGGTGAGCTCTTCAAGGATCCTGAGCTGCTCAACGCCATGAAGGTGAGTCAAATCAGCACCAATCCCTCGTCTCAACCCACCTGGTTCACACGTTTAAAGTGGCTTAGCTTCTAAACATGGAGTTTATCCTTTTGATTATGAGAATTTAATAAAAAAGACAATCACGGCTATCAAGGTTTTCAGGAAACTCAAATGCTTTATCTTGTGAATTTCTTGCCGTTTTTCCTCTTGTTGTGAACTTTTTTCCCTCCAGACATTTTTATATTTCCACTTTCGGACATCTGTTAAGCTAGCAGTCTTTCCCAGGATTGTGAAGGCTGTGACATTTCTGCATTAAAATTAGATTTGGGTGGATCGATCAAATAATATCGGCAACATCGATACCAGGTTGATATTAGTATCCGTGTTGGTAATACTATCGTGGCAATCTTGATACTTTAGTTTCAGATTACTTCTTGGAATTTTTTTTAAATTCTAGTTTCTCTACTTTAGAGAAGTTTCGATTTGCTTTCTTTTTTTTCTTTTTTTTTTTTTTGCTGTTTGTCATGTTAATATGTTATTGCAAGTATTTTGTAAACACCAAAAAAACTTTCTCCAAACTCTGTCCCAGGTTTGAACAAAAATAATTCAGGAAAAAACAAAAATGTTGATACTTTTTATTTAAAAGTATCGGTATCAGCGATACTGGTCCTGGCGATACTCAATATTGGATCATTGCTGAAATATTCAGTATCGCACGCCTTTAATTAAAATTCCTGTTTAACGAGCTTTCGCTTAGGATTTCAATATTAGATTTTTGTTACTGTTGGCCATAATTATCCAAAAAAAATATGTAGAAATGTAACTTTTTGTTGAATTACTGGCAAAAGAAAAATTTTTTATGGAATGTAAATTTATTAAGATGCATGTTAAAGATATGCAGAAAGCTTCGTGTATAAAAACCTGTGTTTTTGTGCCTTTTTAAACGTGTCTGTCATTTAAATCCAGGACCCCGAGGTCATGGCCGCATTCCAGGATGTGGCGCAGAACCCGGCCAACATCTCCAAGTATCAAAACAACCCCAAAATCATGGCCCTGGTCACCAAGCTGAGTGCCAAGTTCGGAGCCTCCCCACAACCGTAGAGGGGGGGGGGGTGCGGAGGGAACGAGACCAAAAGGTGAAACGATCCAGAGAGCGCCGCTTGTCAACAATTATTCACTGTGTTTAATTCAAAGTGGGGAGCTGATTATGTGTAAACTGGTGCAATGTTTCAAAAAAAAGGAAAAAAAACAAAAACCATTGAGCAACTTTTTACAGCGTTCTCAATCAGCCTGTTAGCACCTAACGACATCTGAACTAGCCGACGACCCACCAGAGTCTGACGCTTCAGTAACCTCAGACGCATCTCAGCCTGGACTTTGTTTAACCCGCAGGTTGACCTTTTCTTAACCTCTATCTGGAACAGCCACACTGAAAGCCTCTGCGTTGCAACTCTTTAGCATTTCTACAAACATTTAATACGTTGTAAAGCTTTCCCTCTGGTTTTCTTTCTGAACACAGCCCAAAACTCTCGCACAGGCTTTGGTGTGTTGTCTTTTTTTTTTTTGTTATCAGAACTGTTAATAATACTAAAGAACGTAATAATGTTCATGTTTGACTGGGGGGGAAAAAATAAATTCACAATAAAAACTCTTGATGCAAAATTTGCTTTTTGGTTGTTTTTTTGTATCCTGTTCTTCATTCCACTGGGATTTTCTTTTCACATAATTTTAGGGGATTTTGTGTCAAATTTGTGAAAAACAAAATGAAAGCTATTTAGAATTAGCTGCATTAGATTTTACAGTATTTTCTGCTTGATGTGGATGAAATGTCACAAATTTAGTGAAAGAAACAATCTGACACTTCACACCTGAGCTTCAGTTTGAGTGGAATTATTTTGAGTTTGAGCTGCCGCCTTTACAAAATGGAAAACTTTAATGCATCTTTAAGAATTAAATTCTAAGTATTTTATGTAGAAATTTAAACCTTTGGAGTATTTTTTTAAATAATTTCTGTGGATAAAATATTGCCTTTCGATCAAACTGTGCAGCCCATGTGAGTCCTTCCACAGTCGACTCTTCACTGTGAAAATGGTGAAGAAGCAGAACTGCTTTTAAATTTAGACGTTACTGAACAACAAATGAAAGTTTTAGCAGATTTCCATGGAATATTCACATTGTTTTTCCACCACAATCACATTAGAATATCAGTAATATATTTCATGAATTTTTCTTAATTTTTCACAATTAAAGATCCCATGGAGGAAAATAAATCTCTTTCTGCAAGTTTTATCTTAAAACTCACAAATAGAAACAAAAAGATGCTCAAAATAAACTCTTTGTTTTCCAAACGTCTATATAAAATTAGCTGCTCTAAATTAATTTCATTTAGCTCTGATGAGGGTAAAAATGTCTTTCTGGATTGTATTGGTTGCATTTGACTTAATCAGCTCTACTGCTATGTTGTGCATAAAACTTCAACCACATTCTTGTCAAAAATGTATTAAAAAAAACTGTCAACCAAAATAAAAAAAATTTCATAGTGGAAATACTTTTAAAAATATTCCCAGAACTAATAGTCACTGTAATAATTTTAAAATCTTACATTATAACCAGTGATGCATATCAGACCTTAGTTTTTACATTTTACTGATACAGTTTCATATTTTTCCATAAACATTTGTTAAAATACACAAGTTGATAAATCTTTAACATAAACCCAGGGAAAAAAAATTTAATTCAAGGAGAAATTTTGAACCAAATAATTTTAAATCTAATTTATTTATGCCTTTTTAGGCTCCACCTGATTGCACCTTCTCAGTCAGGTGTTTGTTTTTTCCAACCAGAAGCAGAACCAGATGTTCTATAAAGCCGGTTTAAACAACGAGTGGGTTAGGAGGTCACTTAGGATCCTGGCTTTCTGCCACAGGATTACCGACTGCCCTGAAACACAGCGAGTCCTGTGGACACTGCAATGCGTAAACTAACAATCTTATTTCAGCTCATAATAATTCAACCATCGTCCATTAAAAAGTCACTCAGGGTCTGTGATAACATTGCTCTTTATTTAGGAGCTCGCAACAATCCAAAAACAAATCTGTGGAAAACAACATCTAGTCTGATAAGCAGGGAGGAAAACAAAGGCAGAGAGGCCGACGCTTGTGGAACCGGGTCACCAGAACAACGGCTAGTGTCCGTATCTGCGAAAACACGGCAGAGGGAGGCGAAGAGACGTCAGTACAGCGGTTCGCATTCAACAGAAATAGTCACCAAACCGATCATACTCACTTCTGGAACTCCCACTCTCTGTTGTCCAGAGGACACACCTGTCTGGTTTTCAGCCAGCGGGAAATACAGTGAAAATGAAAGGCATGCTGGGAAAAAAAAAATAAGTCAAGTTAAAAACCAGAATGGAAGTAACTTGATGACAGCAGTTAACTTTACAAGACTCTCCTCCATTTTGAATGAACATAGTGTTTTCTTAAAATGTTTTTTTTCATGTAGACTCACATTGCAGACCCCCCAGGCTACGGTGCACTCTTCGGACGTCGCAGACGCCTGGTTGGCCTGACACTCTATACCTGAAGGAAGACAGGAAGTGATGTCGGACTGTATTACAACCTGACAAAAATGTTCAATGTCAGAATCAAATGAACTCACAGAGATCCATGATGTGGTTCCTACAGATGGCACAATTATCCACCACTATGTCCCAGGCCCACAGCGCAACAGCGTTCCACTGGAGATGAACAAAAACAGGGAAAATTATCCAGATGGCCTAAAGTACAAAACATTATGACCAGTATAAGAAGTTATTTTTTTCAATAGCATCTGTTGGTGAGTGGGATATATCAGGTAGCTGGAGAAAATTTAGTCCTCAAAGTTGATGTGATAAGTAGCCTTTCAGTCTGCTGAAACCACACTATAAGCATCGCCACAATTAATTAAGACTGAAGTTTCTGTAAATAATAACCTTAAAGGTCTTCCAATACAAGACAGTATCATTAAAGCTTATAATAAACCACCTCTTACTTCAGTAACAACGCAAATCTGTTTGACTGTATTGGGTCTTAAGAATGAAAGTGGATATTGGAATCTGACTTCTCTTGTTTAGGGCGATGACGGCTAAAAAAAATCCTACACAGACATGCTAACCCATTCAATTAAATAAACCGACAGATTCATTAGAAAATAAGCCATGAAGATGACATTGATAATGTTAAATAAACGTTACGACATAACAAACATACAAACAACAAAAAAGAAGAGCACAACTAATTTAATTTCTTTAGTTTGTGAAATCTTGACAGTTGAAGCTAGCTGACTAAGCTAATTTAGCATGCAGGGTAGCACGAATTTAACTTTAGTCAATGGCGGTTTTTCTGCTTTAGCTAAATGTAGTTATTAACGTGGAGATACTAAAGATAAGTGGTCGATTTTAATAGATAACACGTTCAAAGTTTTTTTTATGTACGAGTATGACGCATTTAAATTGTGCTATGTACTATGCTAGCAGCTTTGTAGCTAATGCTAGCTGTATTTAAGAGAGCTCAGGCTGCTCGTAGGACTGAGCTGTAGCTCACGGCATTCAGCCACAGCTAATGACGAGAAACATTTGTTTAATTTGACCACGGCTGCTTTAGACAAAGATACCTTTTTGACTTCGAAGCGCTTCTTGCTAGCTCCACTGTTAGTACCGCTTGGTGTGTCAACATCCATCGCTGCTGCCATCTTGGATAATCCGGGAAGCTTAGTTTAGTCACCCAATCGGAAACTAAAACAGCTTCCGTTAGCTTGTTTCGAACTGAAGTATTCTTTCTAAATACTTCCCAACAATTTGGGTTAAGTGACTGAGACTTATTGTGAAAAATAATTTCATATTAATAACCTGCAAAACAGAATCCCAGAAAGATTTGGGTGAAAATAAAAGTTAGGTTCCACCGAGATTTGAACTCGGATCGCTGGATTCAGAGTCCAGAGTGCTAACCATTACACCATGGAACCCCACGCGACACACAGCTGCAGGAACTGCTCATATTATGATACCAATGATGAGCTGATTTGTTTTTTTTTGTTTTTTTTTTTTTTTTTTATGTTAAATTTTACAGACCCTCCAGTCCTTCTCCCCCCTTAATAACTGTTGTAGAATGACGATACAAACCTTGTAGGCTTTCATTTCAGGGTTCCACAAAAACACAATATTCTTAAGTCATATGCAGTTGAAAAAACTTTTTATTCTCCTTGGTGTATGTTTGATGGAAGACGTTACAATAGGCACAAGACAAAGTAAGCACTCAGCATTAGTAAGCATTAGTAAGCATTAGGCCCCCATCTTTGGGGAAAATAAGTGGTTCAGTGTTGAAAGAGAACCAGACTCGGCATCCAAAGTGTAAAATAAGTGGAAAGAGTACAGAATATTACTTAAATACAAGTTACCAAGTGTAAAATGTTACTCACATAAGAGCAAAAGGTTCCTCACAAAAATTTTACTTTAAGAAAAATGTACTTTTTTCATGAACAGAAGAAAGTTCCACACATGGATTTCACAAATGAAAACTAGAACATATCAGTCTCAAACAGCTTTTGATTAAATTATGAACTTTATAAATAAAAATTCGGCTCAAATTGAACTATGTTAGCATATGACTTCATGAATATTTGGGAGGTAGTAGGTGTAATTTTAAAATATTATTCAGAGTGTTTACACGGTGTTGAAGAATCAATGCAGTCTTTTTATATTACTTATTTTTACTCTTTAACGGACATGATTTAAAATGTAGCAGCTTAAAATACTTTATCAAAACAAACAAGTAAAAGTTCAAGTTTTGTACCCAACTTCAAAAAAGTCCAGCCTGCAGACAAATTGCACTGGATCACAGTAACACGACTGAATATAACTAGCTACTTTCCCCACCTTTGACGTATTTGGTTGACAGCAGAAGTCCGACAAAACATGTCAGAGACAGATAAAGAACAAACCTAAACCAGGCCTCTTCTCAAGATAAAGATATGACAGGAAATACATATTTATAGTGGATGCAAACATTTAAAGCATGTGTTTCCATTTGAGCTGAAATAAAAATTACTTTATGGTTAGACACCAAAGTAACTACTAGAACTTGATTGTAGTAGTTACTTGAATCTTTTAGTCTACAAGACTAAAAAAGACTAGGAGGAAATTGAGTTTCCTCCTCAATTTCCTCCACTTGCTTTGCTCATCTTCTTGTTTTTGACCAACTTATACCACTGGGGAGTTTGAGCTTTTCTGGCCTTCTTCTTCGCTCCGGTGGATTTCAGTTTTGCAGCTTTGGGTCCAACAGGATCCGTCTCAGTCCGTCTCAGGTTGTTTTCTGGACAGGTTGCAAACCCATTGGTGTCCATCAGCTTCTGACCTTTAACCTCAACAGGGTGACCACATGTTCCCAAAACATTCAACTTCACTCTCTCCATCCACCTGAGCGAGCGAGACAAGGAAATCCAGACATTAGAAAACAATTCAGTTGCAGTTGTAATTGGCACCAATGTCAAAATTTGGGATCAATGTCCTGCTGGAACATCCAGTTACATCTGTTGATGTCTGACCAAAGTCTGGCCACACCAAATTGGTTAAAATCTTCCTCTATTTGTTTTTGGTAAAAAGTTTTTTTTTACCAAAAACAAATAAATAACAACCCATTGTTTAAAGTTTCCCCACATGCAGCACAGAGCAGCCCTCTCCAAACCTCCACCTGATTGAAAAATGTATGGGTTTTAAAAGTTGAATTAACCATCTTCTTGCCAAATCAGATAATATTTTTTTTATTATTTTCACTTGAACCGGCTCGCTGGTAGATGGACTGACCTGCGCCGGGGCAGCAGGTCACAGTCACAGATCAGAGGGTTGTCCCGCAGGTCGATCAGCTCAAGGCCGCTGAGCGGGCTCAGGTCCGGAAGCGTCTTCAGTCGGTTTCCTCTCACGGTCAGAACTTTCAGACGTGGACCCAGGCTCAACAGAACCTCCTTCGACATCTAACCACAGATACAAGAGTTATTTAAAACCATGCATGTAGACCGTCATCGGGGGTGGGCAATTTTTTATTCAGTTCTTATTTTCACATACACTCTATCTGTATAGGGCTTGGCAATTAATCAATAACATATATATCACGATAGATAACTGAATAAAACTTCACCGGTATGGCAGTATTTCAGACACTTAAAACAAACAAAAAGAAAACTAATCAGTAATTATTGATACTGACTGATATGAAACACTTATATTTTTCAGTCCTAAGTCAAAGCAGCAATTTTTGAAATCAAATAACCACAGCAATTTCAGACAATTTCTGTTTTGTTTCAATAGTCAAAAAAAAAAAAAAAAAAAAGCACACAAAAAAATGAAGGTTGCCATCAAAACCTTTACCTCTGCCATCCCCATCCGATTCATGTAAAGCCTCTGAAGACTGTGTGACATCTCCTGGAAGGTCTCGGGTCCGACCCACTGGACCGGGTTTTGAGACAGGTTCAGCTCCGTCAGGTTGGGCGTGTCGGTCAGAGCATCGGACGGCACCCGGGTCAGCCGGTTGGAATCCAGGTGAAGCGTTTCAATGTTGGGAGAGTTCAGGGCAGCTTTGGCAATTCCACTAATGGCGTTACTCCTTAAATAGAGATTCGTCAGTGCGGGAGCAGCTGAGGAGAGTAAACCAGCAGGTTCCAGCCTGGAGATGGCGTTTTGCTCCAGATGCAACACCGACAAATTTGGTACGAGTGACAGAGCTGCAGAGGAAAAGGAAAACATCAACTTTACTTTGGTTCTTTGCATGGATACAATTATAACTTTAGGAACTTTATCCGACCTTCTTTGGGGAATTGTGTCAGTCGGTTCCCCTCCAGGTGAAGATTGGTGAGCTTTGGGAGTCCAGCCAGAGCTTCGGGCTCCAAAGACGTGAGGTCGTTGTCAGACAGATGCAAATACTTCAGGCTCCTCATCCCACGGAAGGCCCAAGCTTGGATTTTGTAGATTTTACAGAAGCCCAGGTACAGAGACACAACTTGACAGCCGCCCAGGAAGCTCCTGGCGGGGATGACATGCAAGTCGTTGCCATGGAGATTGAGCACCTGCGTCCTGGGCGGGAAGCCCCAAGAGACTTTGTTAAGACCACGGCTCTCACACGAGGCGTGATGGGCTTCAGTCTGGGCCGGAGGAAATCAGAGAGAAAGAACGAGAAACTGTTTAATACATTTCCACAGCATGTTTTCAGTCTGAGCTTATCTTCCTGTTACAGGAAAACTTTTCCCGTTTACGGTTTTCGGATTCTTGCCAAGAACGGCTATTGGACCCCACTATATTCCCAGATTAAAATTTGATTCTTAAAGTGTTTGGGCCCATACAAGTCAATTCCAGACTAGAGTTTTCAAAGTATCTATGCTGAAGTAAATATTTAACCTGCAAAGAAGAAAGTGCATGGGTGGATTCATGGATAGACTAGCAGATGAATGCTAATGGTTGTGTGGATGTTGGACAAACAAATTGATAGAAAAGAGGTATGTTCATAAAATCTCAAAATATTACCACAACTCATTACATGTAGGCTTATGCCTGCAAAACATGCATTCATAGAAAATAAATAAATAAATAAAAGAAAGTCTGTGGTACCTTCCCACCGCCCTCCCCTAAAAATTGTCACCCTGGGCTACTGCCCCAAGTTTACCAAATCAATCACTGTCATTTTGAGTTTTAAAGAAAAGCACAGCAGACTGTAAACATAGTTTAAGTTCCTCACCTCATCTACTCCCAGGGGAATCTCCATTAAGTTTTTGCCGACGCAGGCCACTGTGGTGTCATCACAGCGGCACGGTTCAGGACAGTTTCTTGCATTGATGGTTGAGATCAGATTTAAAATGGTCAGGAAAACTTCAGAACGGAGGAACTCCATCTGTACCAGGGGAGTATGTAAGAATCATGATTTCAAAACAGGAGATTTGTCTGGAAATCACTTCCATGGCTTCTTCTTTTTTCTTTTAAATGAGTTTTCTTTTTCTTTTCTCTTTTTGTAGTTTGCAGGACATACAGACTGATCAAACAACAATGTTGACCTAAAGAGCACAAGTGTTGCTGAACCACTTCAGATTTACCTCTTTACCTTTAAAGCAGAGGTACTGGCATGAATTGAGAACTTACATTTTCAGTTTGAAAGCAGAATTTCATCTCTTGGCTGTTTTTGTATACAATTCTGCAGGCACGTGCGGGGGAGGGAAAGGGGGCTTGAGCCCCTGCCCCTTTTATCCTTGATGCCCCTAGTGCCCTTTTTTATTTAATTTTTTTAATTGTTTTTTTATCTTTATGTCAGAAGGCCTGCTTGTGCCCCTCAGCAATAACGTTTAGCTAATTATAATAATTTACCAAAAATAAACTAGTCTGGCTGCCCTCAGTCTAATAATGACTCTCAGAGCCCCCATGTTGTTCAGACACAGGGTCAATGGTGAGGAGGAGGGGCAGATCTGTGCCCTCTAAATATCAAATTATGGGCAAGAATATTTTTTCATACACTGGTTTGTGAATAAAAACGTAGATCTGATGTTGACGCTAGAAACACGGTTTCTATTTACATTTTAGTAATTGCCCTTGCAATAGCGGGAAAAACCCGCCTTGTCCCTGAACACAGAGACGCTTAAAAGCTTCAGAGAAAACTTCTGACTTATTCAGGCTGCTAAATGCCCGATTCGCCATCAGTCTGAGTCGGTCCCACCGACAAATGTAAAGAATGTCCTGATATAAGACACGGTACTGAAACCGTCACCGTGATTTCACATATGTAGAGGCATTGCTTACACCAGCTGCTGCATTTTTCGGCTTTGGCAAATTCCTTCGTGACATCTGACGTTTATGCTCCTCCCAATTTTCCCTGCCAGCATTTGGAGGGAAAAGGAGGTCCTGGACAAACCCAGGTGGGAAACCCAGCCAGCATGAAAAAAATTTGCGTTGGCTTCCTTTTCAGCTAGAGCTGAAGACAGGAAACTTAAGACAAGAAATAACCACAATAAGTTTTAATTCTATTCATTCAATTCATCTTGGTTTGGAAAGTCTCTCTTTAGTGGGGATGAAAAAATAAAGTTTTTTTTAAATGAACATTTTAGTCACAAAAGAGTCAAAGCCATCCAACAAATGGTTTATTTTTGCAAAAACAAATTTAAAAACGTAGAACCCTGGGCTACAAAACACAGTAAAGATATCAGCTTTTAAATGCACTTTGATTGGTTTAACTTACCATCCCTTGGTCTTTGATATCTTAACATTTTTTCACCATATTTGTGTTGTCAGTAAAAGCTATCTGAGAGAATATTAAATTCATCTATTGAATATAAACAGAGCAGCTGTGGATTCAGATTGATCTCAGTCGGAGCTCCTCCCGATCAACCTGATCCGATCAAGTTACCGACTTTGTTGTAGGATATGTTCAGGCTGCAGAGGAAGTTGCTAAAATTTCCATTTCATTCATTTCCAGCCCAGTGCATTCAAGTCAAGTCCAAATGAGAAGGTTAACACAACATGAGGTTTCAGATGAACTGCAGCTGTGATGTAGATTGTTGTGCCAGAACGGAGGTGCAGCCGTTTGGGTTTCTGTGTGCGGGTTTTTAAAGGTCCATCAGTGAATAAATGTTCAGTCTGTGAGCCTCAGCTCTGAGGTCGAACTCTCTGCAGTGTAGACTGGAGGCCGTTTCTGGCGTTTCCACACGACTCCAAGGATTTGTTGCTCCTGTGGATGGAAGCACAGATTTGATCAAGCAATAATTTAAACATCTCAGGAGCTCACATTTGTAAATTTGTTCCTCCAACAGCGGATCGCAGAAGTAATTTTATGCCTCTTCTAAATTATGTCTCCACAAAGTAGTGTGTATATTGTGAAATGATAGGAAATTGTGTGAGATTTAAAAATAAAAATATGGATTCAGCTCTCCTAAGTTAATACTACGCAAAAGCATTTCTTGAAGCAATTAGAGCTGCAGGTCTTAAAGGGGCAGAGCAGTTTGAGGATCATCCAGATTTGGATGGAGATAATTTACGTTTCATTTTTGAGTCTTGCTATGGGTTCACAACTCAATTTAAATCTGGGCTTTGACTAGACCTTTCTAACACAGACTTGTGCTTCGACTCAGTGTCGTTTCAAGGCACTGCTTGTTTATGTGCCTGTTTTCCAGGCACATAGCTCCATTTCATAGCACAATCAAGTAACTGTTACCATTCTGAATAGTGCTTTATATCGAATACAACTTAAAAGAAATTTGACTTGGCACCTTGAAATTGGGCGTGTGTCTTTAAGAAACGACTATTCTTTCTGATACTCTGCCTTCAGGAAGTTATCCCAAAATGGCTACTCTATTAACCCTTTAGGAACGTTTTTTACCAGCGTTTCACTGAGAAGCAGCTCCTATAATGAGTCCAGCTGATGCTCAGCTCCACCAGGTGTTTGCTAATTGCTGCTGGCTAGTCTGAAGGAGCTGAGTGGAGAAGGGCTGCTATGAGGCAGAAGATTAGAAGCTTGGAAACCGCAGCTTCAAGGAGGAGCTTTGTCCTTAAAGGCGGGGCTACGTTTTCCACAGCTGAATGGTTGCCATGGGAGATTAAAGGATTTCTCAACCATGGATGAAAGAATTAAAGCAACACTCCAGATATGTCTTTGATGACTGAATAACATAACATGACGTAGAGCTGAAGTCCATTTTACATTATACTGCCTCTTAATCCCCACCCTGATGCAAAAAAAAAAAACCATAAACTCATCGCCACTCGTGTGGCAATGAGGCACTGAAGACGGGAACAGTAAGTCGTTGCATTTTGTACCTGGAGGCCGCATGCTGATTGGCTCATTCGCCACGCCCTTACCGGGACATGAACGCCTCGAGCACCGCCACGTTCTCTTTGGGGAAGTAGTCCTGCCGAACAACGTGCTCCAGGGCGTGGAGGTGACCTGGGACGACCACCACGGGCTTGATCTTGTCCTCACTCTGAGCGGCGCAGAGGACACGACGGCAGGCGGATTAATTCAACAGAGAAGACAACGCAGGTGTGAAGCATGAGATGTGGGAAAAACTAAACCAGATGTGTTGACTTTGTCCTAGTGTCTTACCTTAATAAGTCCTAGGAGGACTAACAAAACGGATACAAAGCTGTAACCTTGAAAGGAGGGAGTGCTGAAAGCTTTACTCAGGATGGCATCTGGGAAGAGGGGAAAAATATACAGGGCTGTTTTCAATTAAAGAAACTCAAATCAGTTCACAGAGACTATGAACAAAAAAAACCTAAACTGAGTTGTTTAAAATCCTCTTTCGTACCCACCTCCATCAAAAGTTTTGACTACAAATTTTAAATAGAGAGTAGGCTGAGGCCTGGAAGGTGTGCAACAACTTTTTAGCTGTTTACATGTATTGTTCATTTGGAGAAATGCTACTATGCAATACACACCACTGAGCCCATGAAATTTCCCCTAGAGGACAATGCAGTATATTTTGCTCATGCTGATTTTTAAACAATCAAGGATTTGATGGGAAACGTGGAAACATCAATCACAAAAACACAAATCATCCTGACAATTTGTTTCTAGAAGAAGGAGTCTGTATTCAAGGAGAAGATGAAAATCTGAGAATAAAAATGAGGCTGTACAGGATAATAGCAAAACACGACACTGTGATCCAACACAATGCACAATTCTTAGTCGAGTTTTAGTTATGACTGTTTTGACACTACAGAGCTCTCAGTCACACAAAACGTAAATAAGAACATGACCTGAATATTTACAGACGCAAATGTGAGGTTTTGTTCTTCTTAGGTGAAATCTGTATTAAAAATAGAACAATAAAGAAAACGAGAGCAGCAACGAGTCACCCCAAATAAAACTCGTGCATCTTACCGATGGTGTCCAACACGGCGTTCTTGACGTCGTAGTTCTCCTCTTTATACACCGAGGCGATCTTCAGGAAGGCTTCGGCTGTTTTTCTTGCATCTGTCACGTCCACCTAGACGGGGAAACGAATGAAAGGGATTTTCAGACACAAACCGCACATTTTGTGAAGTTTGGCATCTTTATTTTGTTTGGAAAATGGAAGAAACACAGCAGCTTTATTGCTTTGTTTAATCCAGTCTAAGGAGTACAGGTAAAATTCAACCCAACTTTGAAAATATGCGAAGTATTAAAAGTAGGGAAATAGTCCTTTTTAACTTTTGAATGATTCCACGTTTTTTTTTTTTCTTTTTTAACCAAAATTTTGATGAGTAAAATACTTAAAATCAAGCTGTAATGTGCCAAATCACAGCAGAATGCAACAGAAAAATCATTGCAAAAACACACAAAAAAATGCTTAATTTAATAAGTATGACCCTTGAAAAATTAAACCCAAGAACCCCCATCTCAAATTTAAGACTTTTGTGAATGAAATTTAAGACCTATATCACGACAGAAATGTACAAACTTCATCCAGCCAACCAGCGGCGATAAGACGCAAGAAGCTACCTAGCTAGCTGACATACGCTTGCAAAAATTAAGACCTGTAATTACATTTTAAATGAACTTAAGACATTTTGAGGCCTTACTTTTAGATACATGGATTTAAGACACCCTGTGTCGTCCATGTATTTCTGCGTTTGCTCACCTGCTGCTGGACTAGCAGCGCCCTCTTGGCGCCAAGTTTCAGCAGTTTGTCGGGAGACGGGAAGCTGAGGAAAGAAGAGACATCTGGTGGTCGTGGTGCTGACACAGGAGTGGACGGCTTTGGGTGAGGGGGCAAGGAGAAGAAAGTAGGAAACTTAGGCCAGTGACTGATGTTACCATAGAAACACAAGAAATGCTGTGATGCTGGTCATTTTATCGTTTCTGGTGCATTTATTCTGATTTCTGGATATTGAAGCCACAAAGTTTAGTCATAACTAACCTTGTGGTTG